TTGTGTTGTGTGTGTGAGTGAACGTTTGGTGCGAGTTGTTAAACCACTATTGTCCTTGTGTAGCATAAGAAATTACGATGTATGCCACGCTCACCAGGTGTTACTTGTTTGAATTGTAAAGTGGTAAATAAAAATAAAAAGTAAGAAAAAACTCCAAAATGAATATTTTCAGAAAAAAACTAACTATAAACCAAGAACATAAAAGTTTAAATTTAAATTTGAATATTTTCAGTTAAAAATAAATTTGTGGGAAGGTATCTTTAATATTTTAAAAAATATGGTAAATTATGCGGGTCATTTTTTGAGGTAAGGTCAAATTATAAAAAAATATATATATATATATATATATATATATATATATATATATATATATATATATATATATTGTTAGGATAATTACAGCTATCCCTCGTCTTCTTACACGTTCACCCCCATGGTATTAAATTCAACATAATTTTTTAAATTTGTCGAACGTTCTCTAGTTTGTACCCGTTTTGTGCGAAAATGCAGTTTATAATGCACCACAATCTGATATTTACAAGCCACGAGACACATCTTATGATCATCTTGTTTCACCCGTGGAGCTCGAATATGATAAAATGGGTAAAAATTGGAGAATATTCCACTAAATTTGACACCGCAAAAAGTCGACGTATAAGAATATTCACAATTGAAGGAATTGATGGTTGTAATTACCTAAACATGATGAACGTAATTTGACCTACGTAGGGGTGTGGTCGTAGCTTACAAAATATTTATGAAGGTTCTCTAAACAATTAGATCTAACCTCAAGGAGAACAATGTAAACTTATTAAGTGGGTTGAAATTATTTCGTGGGGGTCTTTTTGCAATTAAACAAGTAATTGTTGGGTCAGTCTGCAATTTCCTCGTGAGCGTGGAGAGTGGGAGAAAACTAAACTAAAAAAACCCAGACAAGCAAACGAAGCATCAAAAGGGGCAGCTGTGTGTGCCTTTTTATAGTAAACAAAAACTAATTGCACTTAATTTCAATATCCCATTATATATACTACTGCTCCAGAAGAAGAAGAAGAAGAAGTAGAGAGAGAAAGAAACAGCAGCAGAAACACAAGAGAGAGAGAGAGAGAAGAAGAGAGAGAAAGATGGATAGAGGAGTGATAGCATCGCATTCAGTATCTTCAATTCCTCGTATTCCATCGATAATCGGTCAACGCCGCCGCTGCAGTGTTGTTATCCCATCTGCCACGCGTCAAAATCCCTTGTTTCCTTCGACTATCAACCCTGTCTCAATTGGATTGCTCAATTTACCTAGGATTAATTTCCTGTGCAAAAGTACTGCCGATTCAGGTACAATTTTTGAATTTTTTTTTTTTAATGTTTTTTGTCTCTATGTTCTTCATTTTTGTTGTTGTGTTTCACTCTGGATATTTTTTATGTTTGGACTGTTCAATTCTATGTCGTATAATTTCTGTTTGATACGGAGTTGACTTTGCATCATTTTTTTTTAAATTTTGTCTGAGTTGAAATCTGGATTCTGGAAATTGGAATTGTAAAAAACACACACATACACACACACTTTACTTTGGTTGAGAATGTAATAAATTGTGGAGAGGCAAATGTGATGTAATAGCCTCGTATATGGTTCGTTGTAAGGTGTTAATTACCAATTAATCTGCGAACAAATTCTTGCAGAGTGTGAATCGTGTAGATCTGTTAATATGGTTTTGCGGATGAAATTGGGAGATCGATCGATCGGGGAAAGATGAAACATGTTGAGTTTGTTAGGTTTGGTGTATAATTAGGGACTTGTTTTGGCCATAAATTTGATGGCACCGTCGTTAATATGATGCTATTCGTTGGATTCTTTCGGTCAATCTCTCTCTGAAAATTGTTGGTTTTTTGTTTAAAATATGATCGGAATCGGGGCTTTTCGTGTTGACATGTTCTTAGTGGGACTTCTTGGAGGATCTCAAACTAGATTTCAAAAGTGCCTCTTATTGCATTTTCCAATAGAATGAAACTATATATTTTCACTAAAAATCCGTATCTTTATATTCCTTCTTTTAGTGTTTATATATAATATTCGTGACCAGAAAATTAAAAAACAAAACCCACCATATTTTTGCAGGTGAGAATGAGAGCAAAACAGTTTTGGATGCATTTTTCTTGGGGAAGGCTCTGGGAGAAGTAATTAACGAGCGAATAGAGTCAACCGTGGGCGAGTTTCTGAGCGTAATTGGCAGATTGCAAGCTGAGCAGCAAAAACATGTGTCTGAATTCCAGGTATGTGTATCCGTATCCAGCGTGGTTGTTGTAATAAGACTACATAAATAATTAAAAAATATATATATTTGCATGTTTTACTTATTTATATGTTTTTAGAATTTGGAAGCCTCTTGGTAGATGCATGTGCTGCACATGTGTTGTCCCACTATTGTTGACGATAGCCCACCAGCTTTTCCGTCTCTACTTCTCCAACATGTTATATTCGCCAATTAAATCGATCTGTCTTGTTAAGTTACAAATAGCATGAATCTATAATTGGCTGCATTATTCTCTTCTTAATTCTTGGAATACTTAGATAATCCTCGAATTTGAACATGTTCAGCTTGTCTAGAAATAGTTATTTATTCCGATAATGGAATCTTTGCAAAAATTACTTGAAATACTGCAATTTTGAATGAGTTTTTCTGCTTATAGACTATAATGAAGTTTAAATAAAAAAATAATAATAAATAAATTGTAACGTGAACCGATGAAATGGGCAGGAGGAGGTGTTGGAGAAGGCTAGACGAGCGAAAGAGCAAGCTTCGAGGGAAGCTGTGGAAGCAAAAGGCGTAATTCCAAACGCGACTGTGATTTCTGCAGCTGCAACTACAGTGTCAAAGCATACCAAGGAAGACCCCTTTTCCAAGGGTACCAAATAAGGATTCATTTTACTAGTTATTTATTCATCGTATCGAACATTATAGTAAGACATTGTCTGTCGATTATATACCAGGTCGTCAATAATAAAGTATGCATCTATTCAATTACTACAATTTTCTCTAGTTAAATATATGAAGGACCACACACTTGATATATAAGAATGTCGAAAAATTGGTGTGTTTTATCGTAACCGAATGACTACACAATGTTTTTGGTACGAGGATTATTTGAAGCTCGATGTCCGTTTCAATCTCTACTATTCAAGACATAATAATAATTGCTTTGATATTAAGAAAAAAAGAGTACATAAAGTTGATGAATAATACAGGAGCAAAATTTTTTAAATCCCACAAAAATTCGTTCATAAAATTAAACGGTCTATTTCTTCTTTTCAAACTTTTTTTCGTTTATTCCTTGTCCATGTCTACAACAGAAGGCAGCTCAACTTTGTTCTCATTTTCTCCACCAACCTCGTCAGTGTCCATGGCTGACGATTTCTTAACGTAATCAACCTTAAAGTCATAATCATCATTCCCATCACCTTCCTTTGCCGGCGTCTGAACTTCCTTTTTCCGTCTTTTCTTCTCCGCTTTTTTCACCTTGGAATTTAGCATGCCTTCCTCTGCATATAGCTTCTCGTTTTGCTTGCTAATGCCAGATTTCTCCTTCGCTACTGCATTTTCTTCTGCATTTTCCATGGACTGGTCGCCCTCCGTTGGGGCTTCCTCTAATGGTGCATCATCCTGCATATAGATAGATTAGAACAAATCCGAAATTTATCTCGTAAAACGCGTGGATTGATGCTAAACAAGATAATCCAAGATAAAATTGTGCTGTTTCTTTAAATCAAGTATTGACTAAGCATGGATAGATGACAAACCTCGAGCATCGTCAGGTCAAAATTTACGGGACAATTTGAAGGGACTTCAACAGGGTTGAAATCGTTAGCAGATTTCAAGCTTCCTATAAATGATGATTCTCCGTCATAAACTTCATCTACATTGAACTTCTTTGCAAGTTCAGGGACAATCTTTGCCTCGGAAGGTTCCTCTACATTCCTCTGGGGAGGCATGGTATAATATGGAATTTTACCTGCAGGTACAAAAAGCAAATTAAATACCAATTTTAGATTATAGTTGGCTTGCAGCTAATAAAGCTTTGATCTTTTATATGCTCTCACTCCCATTCAGTATATCCAATAACAGCAGAAATTAAGCAGAGATTTCATTTGTTTTTCAGTTTTCACTGGTTAATATTTTAAAAAAGAAGGCACATAATTATATAGTTTTCAAGAACAAAATCAGAAACAGTCAGAATTAAGGGCCACCGAAATTTTCATCCGCAATTTTCTATTTCTTGTAAAATTAAACTCCCACACATTATGACCACTGGCCACCTTTCAAATCAAATTATGACTGCATTCTTGAAAATACGAATCTTTCGATGCATATTTGAAAGGCGGAAAAAAAAAACTAATACCTTCATTCCAGTCACGCAAAACAATCCTTGCAGCAGTGTCAACATCTACAATGCCACCCTTCTTGAGCTTTCCCCTCACAGTACCAACCTTCTGAAGGAAGTCATCAACAGAATCAAAACTTGGGACCTTGTATAACGTGACCAGTACTCTCTCCGGACAAAGCTTCAGAATTTCCGCAACTGCACCATTAGTAAACAACGCACGTAGTAAGTACATAATAATACAGCAGTAACTAAGAAGCAAAAGCCCAAAGAAGGTATGTGCACTAACCAGGACCAATCGGATCGGCCAATTTTTCAATTCGTTTGCAATTTCTAAGAGCAATGGACGCATCGTTTTCTGTAGATTTAAGCATCACAACCCCCGGGCAGTCTAGTAATTTGACGTTACTATCCAGATGAACCTCTTGCATAGATCTCGTCAAACCAGGAGTAGCACCAACATTGACAACATGGGATCTTTTCAAACTATTGATTAGACTACTTTTGCCAACATTAGGCAGTCCGATAATCCCCACAGTGATGGATTTTTTTATCTGAATCAAGAAATGCACGTCCACTTAGTAAAAAAACAAATAAAAGGAATGAGGTACGCACAAAAGAAGAGACTACTATTGAATTTCAAACAAAGCCAAGGCATCAATGGAACTTGTAATAATACCTCATAGCTTCTTGAGTAGTTTTTCAGCAATTTTATCAGAGTTTCAGCTCCTAGACAGTCACTTGTTTGCAGAAGACTTTGTGAATTCAAGGACTTGTTACCCTTTGGAGCACGTTTCCACCCAAGGTTCGCTTTTTGTTCTTGTGTGCTGCATTTAAATGCAACTGCTGGTAATTCCTCTCTAAGATACTTGAGCCACTTTTCAACAGACTCACGAGGGACAAGATCTGCAATGTAAACAACAAAAGTTGTCAAGCGCTTGCATTATGTAACATATATTCTTTAAACATCAACTAAAAGTGGCGGTCAAATAATTCATCCCTCAAAATGACTAACATGTGGAAGGTGTGAGAAACACAAGCATACCAATTTTATTGAGGAGTAAAACAAGATGCTTATCAGGCCCTGAACTCATCACCATCTTTTCCATGTCGACACAGCGTGTACCGATGGGATCTCGAGCATCAAGAACTTCCAATATGACATCAGAAGCATCAATGACTTTGACCAACTCCTTGTAGAAAGTCTTCTCTGGGCTTTCTGCAATAACAGTTTTAAAAAAACTGGTTTAAAACAAAATTGAGAAAACATAAATACACCCTAAGTTAAGAGAAGTATTCGCCAGTGCTAAAAAAAATTGCATACCAGTTTTCTTAACAATTTCAGTGACAGCACTAGGTTCTTCGGCATCTTCATCATCGAGCAGGCCCAATTTCCTCTTCGCTCGCTTCATCCAAATCAAAAATACATACACATATAAACAGATTAAACCAACTGCAAAAAAATGAAAATTCGAACACTACGAAAATGCAACCAACACAAAATCCTCCATAGAAACTCATGTAATTGGAACAACAGCAGCTAAATTGAACAAAAAGAGTATGAAAAAAAGAAATAATACCCTCTCCCTACGAGCCTCTTTCTTCTCCTCAATCGCTTGGAGAGCGCGTTCGCGGCGAACTTCTAGGGCTTTGAGCTCCTGCTCCTTGAAAGGCCAGTCATTTGGGATTCCTGGATCCTTCTCTACTTTGGGTCTCTTACTCAGACCTAATTTCTTAGCATCTTTAGCTTTCTTCTTGTGGTGCTCCTTCACTTTCCGTATAATCTTGTACTTCTTCTTCAAGGAAGTCCTCTTACTCTTGCTCTCTGAGAAAAACCAAAAAACAAAAATTGAATCCACAAATATTGATTATTATTAGAAAACACAGAAAAAAAAAAAAGGAAGACGGTGAATTTGCGCGCGTGGTGGAAAGACGCAGTGGATTCGTGTGTGCGTGAATTGAACATTTGACTGTACTTTTGCTTCTCTTCGGCATGTTTACGTTTCCGGCGAGAGAGAAGGAGGAGAGTGGGAAGAGGGAGAAGGGGATTAGGGTTTTAGGTTTGGGATTTTGGTGGCGGACCAAAATCTTTCAAAAGTTATTTCCCAAAAAATATTAATATTAACGAAAAACAGAAAAAGATAAAATGGAGTTGGGCGGGCCGTGGATCTATATGGGTCGGGTCGGGTCCCAAAAAAAAATGAACTTAACAAGTTATTACCTTTTTCCCCTAAATGGGAAATTAATTACAATTTCAGTCCAAAATCAGAAAAATTCTGATCGGAAGCCGAATAAGAAAATTCTATTCTTTATTTATCTAGACTGTTAAAAAATTATATTATAATGTAACAAGATAAACTATTTCTATTTTCAGATTTTCAATTCATGGAACGATGTCGTTTGAGTCTTCTGCCGATTGCCAAGATGTATAAAAACATAGTTTCTGCTGCTGCACGTGCAACAATTTATTCATAATTTGTAGTTTAGTTAAGTTAGATAAAAGTAGTTTTGACTTTATCTTTTTTAGAGCGCAAGTTGTTTTGTAATTTTTGGAGTAATAATCGAATATCAAACCTTTATTTTCATTATTTTCTTTTATTTTGTTGGTGGATTTACGATTATCCCTTAAAACATAGGGTAATAGCACTTAATCCCGTCGTTACAATCTTTTGCAGAATGACTCATTGTACTCGTAATATCAGCACATAACACATTGTGGTTTAAGGTGTTCTTTCCGTTAGTTTTTCTGTCAAATTTAACCGCATGTGTCAAACTTCAAGGAGGTCATCAACAAAAATGAAAGGGAAAATGCCTTGAAGTTTGACACATGTAGTTAAGTTTGACGAAAAAACAACCGGAAGCTATCCCTTAAAACCACAAGAGAGTTTATGTACTGATATTACGAGCACAAAGAGGTTCATTTGCAAAAACTTGTAACTACATGGGGTTAAGTGCTATTTACGCTAAATCATAACATATAAAATTTGATTATAGGAAGAAATAAAAAAATATCGTTCCAATTTTTACCCCTATTAAACCCTAAAGTGTATATATGGGCCCTGGTCTTAATTTCTGGGTTATGAGATCCAAATTCAGACGCAATTCATTCGGGCTATAAAAATTTATACGGCCCAATTAAGGAAGCCCGAGCCCATTACCGAGTTTCATCTTTGTAAGCTCAGCCGGCTGCGCCTTTTGAAGCTTCGACATATGTCAACATCGTCATTGGTTCTCCTTTTTATTGTCCGTTAATTAAAAATTCAATTCCATGTGAGAAACCAGGTTCGCACATACCCAATCCTCACTTAGCGGCTGCGCCATTTTGCCAGAAATAAAAAACTCCTTAATTTCTGTTGAGTTCTGTCGCCATTGATTTAAATCTAGGGTTCATTTTGCTGTCAAGGACTCAAATTCAGGTTGGTAACTCTTGTTGACTTCTGATGTGCGCTATTTTTTTTATTTTCTTTATCATGCCTGTAATTGCAGTCTTTATTTTTTCAAATTAATTTCACCTTTTGTAAATAGTTGCGTATGGCATTTTTTATGTTCGTCGGTTCGTGGGCAAATGTTGAGCTGAGCTGAGTTGCTAGTGTAATGTGATTTACATTTTTTTCGTCGTGCAGAATTCAGGCTGTTGATGTGATGTTTTTATTATGAAAATTTGTAATCAATTGCACTACAATTTGACGTTGGTTGCCCGATCGGGTTTTGCACAACAAGGATTTAGTAGTGCCCAGTGTAGAATTACAGATTCCGAAAGTTGACTGTCGTGCAATAAGTCGAATATTTAAGCATCGGTTAACCCTGCATTGTGTTCATTATGTTAGTATGTTTATAATGGACGATTTATGTTTGGTGAGTATTGGTTAACCCTGAAATTATGGAGTTAAATGGCATTTGGGTAAAGAATTAGAGCATGTTAAAGCTCCTCTCTTTGTTGTGAGCCACATTTTCCTTTTTTTCAAATGCACTGTTGGTTCTAAGTTAAAATTTCTTTTGGACTCCATCCTTTCTGTAAAACCAGCTTCCTGTAGTTGACCCAAGCAAGTGATGATATGGGTATCTTGTTGTGAAGAGATTATTCAGCATTCCGTCTTAAAATGACAGTTTTGAAGTGTATGCTCACGTATAGAAATGGAATAGCTAATGTAGTATCTTCCACATTTTTTTGGGTAGATTATATACTTTCTGATTTTATAATGCAATTAATTATTTTCGTGATTGTGTAGGTGCTCATTTGAAGCTGTGGAAAAATACGGCATTTTCCGCAATGTATATAAGCCATAAAATGTGCTGATAAGTAGCAAAAAACCTTAGGAATGGCAGAATATATGGCCATTCCATCCAATGTCAAGCTGCACTTTAATGGAAATGTCTTAGAAGAGCAACTCGTTATGGCCAAAACTTCACATCTTCAAGCAAGAAGGTTTTACTTACTTTCTTTATAATTATAACTTCCCTTGTGATATGCATAAAATCTTGGGGGTCACGTGGAAGGGATCTCCTGCCAATCAAAGTTCGCCAAACTATGGAGTCGAATAATATTACAGTTTTGTTTTATTGGGATTTCTTTGAGTTAGTTTTAAAATTGTCTATTAAATCTTATGATACTATGACAGATCTAGGAAAAGTCGATGCAGTGTAATTAATGGATGTAGGATATGGATTTCATTGGACATGTCTAACACTTATTAAGATAGACTTCACCAAAACTTGTTAAGTAAAACAGAACACAAAAATTGGACATGGCGTAGAATAAATGTTGGACATGACTGTATTGCTTGATATTTGATAATTTATAAGCAAAATAACAGAGAAATGCATAATGCTAACCAATAGACTACTTTTGTCTTGGTCTCATTCATGTTGACCTGTCTCCTTCCTTTGACTTCAGTCTTCTCCAGTCCTACAGGCCTACTTGGATGACTGCTTATCGGTTACACGTAGCTTTGTACTCTTAAGCATCTTAAATCAGATTCATTATATTTAAAAGATGGCCTTGTTTCTACTATGCAGTAAAATATCATGCTTGATTCGTATTTGTGTCCTAGTCCTACCTATTATTTTAATTGTCACATCACATCTTAATAAGAAACTTCATGCAAGTTCTACATCCGTCTCCATGAGATAACATATAGATGTAATTTTTAGTGGTTTCAGTAATTGCTAAAGTGTGGAAACTTTCCTGCTGCCAGTTAACTCCATTTTTACCTATTATTTCACTTATTAGGAGCTTCTATTATGGGAGTAATAATGTTAACCGTTTCTCATCGTGGAAGGCCCTCAAGCATGCTCCTCTCTCAAAAATTCTGAAGGGAACTCCAGGTCGGAAGACTCATATGACATGTTATTGCTCGAGTGCCCTAGCCAGTGCTAATAGTGTACTTGCTTCTGACTGGGTCCCTTTGATGGACCAAATCCTTCTTTTAGCAAGCATAACTCTTACATATATGGCTGGCGTAATTCCTGTTGAGAAGTCACCATATAGCACTCAAATGAGCACACCGCTTGGTGATGTTGTCCCTGGAAACTCTTCCTCCTCGGGTAGGTAAGGAAGGTTAGTGGGTGAAATATTATTATGGTTTGGCAAATATCTCTATTTGTCTGGAGATAGATAGAAGTTCCTTTATTGAGATATATTGTCTTATAAAATTGCAGTGAAGTGGCAAATGATGGTGAGGTTCGGTTACAGTTTGCTTGGGATGTTGTGAAACGCAAGCTAGTGGACTCCTTATCTGCTGTTAAGAATGGGGTTAATTTAAGTGAACGAGTTTCCGAGATTGAACAAAAACCTGCAAAACAGCCTTCAAGTCTGTCTGCTATTGCTGAGGGTCCTAGAATAAGATTGTTGTGGGCATCGTTTCAGTGTCTCAACAAAGAGGCATGCACTTTCTGTTTTGTTACATCTTTTCCCTCTATCTGTATGTATGAAATATACTGCTTCTTTTGGTTTTCCTTTTGCATGCTGTTCAATGTTTTTCTTCCTCCACCATTAAAGGGTTCTTCTCAATTCAGTTCTCTCCTTCAGGTGGCAAATATATCTACAAACCCTTCTACGAATTCAAAAAGTGATTTATTGGCTGTCTTTGCTGAAATTATTCAAAAGTGCTGCCAGCCTGTATGCATGGCATGGCTGGAAGAGGAGCTTCGCCTTATCTCCAGTAAACCTGACAAGGCATGTTATCTAGCTCAACAAACACCGGAGCACAAGATATATAAGCTGTTTGAAAGAAGAAAAATAGTAGCCATAACTATACTTTCTTTGTTTTATGTCCTCTTTCAGGAACTTCTTTCTTTGGCAAAAAATAAGTTGAATGGATATGGCAGCATCATTCAAAGTATTAGAAAGTTGGGCAAGGAGGATCTATACGCGGAGTTAGTATATGCCCTTAAATTCGGTTCTTCCAGGTACGAAGGAGCAGCAAAGTTTGTTTTTGCGGCAGTTTTAGTAGTTGGTTCTTGTCTATGTTTTAATTTCACATGCTTTTCTACTGTTTGGCTACATTTTCATCTTATCCCTTAGAAAATTATATTTCTTTTAGTTATCGCTTTTTCTTGTTTTCTGATGAGCATCTCATTGTATTCCTAAATCGATTAAGATAGGAGATGTGACAATTAAAGTTAAAATAACTATTGATGGCACAGCCGCAAATCCAGAAACATGATTGCTGCAACGAATACATGTTAAGAAAGTTTTTTGGAAGTTTCTGATTCTTGACCCTTCTCTTTCATCCGCTTCTTTCATCAGACTGTTTGGTGCAATGATTTTTCCTGTATTTGATTGAGGAATACCTTTTTCTTAGTTCTGTTTATCATTATCTTGGTATGTTTTGACAGGAAAGGCGGCTATTATAACTCTAGCTTATTTATCCAGCACGGGGTAGACATATTAGAAGACTTGCTGATCACATTAGCCGATGGCATTGCAAGCATGTATTTGGAACTTATATCTGTGGATAGTAGCTTGTCCAATGAAATGAACAACCTTGGTTTGAGCTTGTGTACCCTGTCCACCCGAGCACTTCAGAGATTACGCAATGAAGTATGACTTTTACCTTTTCCTTTTTTCTCGTTTTGGGTTGTCAGTCATTTTTCCCATAGTACAAGTATACTGTATCAATTCTCAGTTCTGAAGATAACATCAAAATAAGCATCATGTTGTAGATCCTTATCCTTTCTAGAAGGTGGTAAGAGCTACACTACATAAATGTGTAATTCTTCTAGGCTCGTTCCTATCTTGATCTAGTATAACGAATTTCATGAAATGTGAAGCATAAAAGTCCTGTAAACAGTAAACCCGCAGACGTCTCAATTAACGTAGATTGTATAATGTGGGATATGAATATGATCTAAAGATTGTAAGATAGTGTTAGTGAAGATGAGGTGCTTAGTATATTTATCTATTGTTACATAATCATGAAAGGCAAGGGGTATCTGGTTATAACAGGTGGCGCTACATCAGTGGATGCATCAGAACATGGAAGCAGTGGTATCTATGTTTGAAGACCAATTTGACCTTTGCACGCTTCAAACTCAACTGGTTGAAGAATCTAGCAGCAGCGAGGCTGAAAATTTTGGTTGGTGGAAGAAGCTCAGCATCAACAGATCAGGACCTGTATCATCGTCATTGCAATTTGTTGCGATCAACCAAATCTCTGTACCTGTTAAAAGGACCATGGAATTAAGGGCCTTGACTGGGTGGTATGTTCTACTCCGTTTTACCATCTTTTTTATTCTCTTTAAGTTACTACAATTCATGTCACTATTGCATGTTTTGATATTCAATATATATATATATATATATCCTCAGCATCGGGCATCATGTAACATATTATTTAATTATGTACCTATTGCGTCCTAAATTACTGGTTTTATTCACGTGATTAATTTCGGGAAGTCTGGAATGTGGAAATGGAGGTTCTTATCCGGCTATATTATATGAAACTACCTTGTTATTATGGAAAGATTATTTGAGTCAGGGTCAATTTTGCTGCTATTCAGAAAAGATAGACAAGATATTCGTGATTTCGTTCAAATTTTGTCTAAAGTACACGACTTTCACGTTCTCCCTTTTTTATCCCCTGTATTTTCATGCATAAGGTTGAGGGTGTAGGTCATCAAATTCCTATCTTCACTAGGTTCCAACTGAGCGTTATTCTTGGAATTATTTTCAGACGTCGAGACAATAAGTGTACCGACAATTGTTATTCTTGAAATTTTCATTTGTTTCTTAATTGTTACATGTCGAAATACGTTTCCAGTTTCTTTCTTTCTCCATGCTCACACTAATGGAACTTTCTTTTTTCTTTTCACTTGCAGGAAATACTACTTCAGTCTCTTCCTAGAACTGGCCGACATCACCATGCCGTTTGTAAGAACGGTTGTTACGAAAGCCAGTGATGCCATCTCGTTCTTTTTAGTCTGCTTGATAGGAAGGTCGGTGGGGCTAATCTACTCTGGAATTAGGAACTCCTTAAGGCGGAAGTGAGTTTCTATTCGATCTTTTCTCTTTTCGTATGGGAATTTTAGCCTAGCCCCCATTGATAATGGTTCTTGCATTTGTTGTGTGTTGGTATATTTAAGCTTTTGCCTTAGATTTAGTTTCTTTTTGCCTGCAGTGCAACTGTATTCACAATATGTACCTTTTGTGAGGAGCTATGACTTTATTTCATAACCTATTTATGTACGTTTGTCATCAATGTAATAAGATATCGTGCATGAATAGAATAATGAGGATTTATGTAAGATTTTTTTGTCTATTTAATTTTTTTTTTCTTTAATTGTGGGAGACATGGGAAAAGGACAGGCAATAGCTAATTTAATTATTAGGGGTAAATTACACACACCCCCCTGA